CCAGATTACTCGATTTTGCTGAAGACGCAGCAAAGAATCCTTCAGTAGGTTCTGCTGTAAATTTACTAAGAGGATTTTCAGAATTGTTTTTTGATCCATCACTTGTTCAAGACTATATTATGTTTATTAAGAAAAATGGATCTTGGGCGAGAAAATTGAGTGCAAAGAATAAAGACAAAACTGATAAAGAATTGTCTGATATTCAACTTTTAATTGTTACTCCGTTCCAGAGATTACCAAGATACATTCTTCACTTTAATGATTTAAAAGGTTGTGGTCCAATAAAACACAGTCCAATACTCAAACAGGCTTTAGAAAGAGCCAAGAAAAACGCAGCAAGAGTCAACGAAGCAATTTGATTTATTTTCGCATTATATTTGTATTGTTATTTAATAACAGTTTTTATTTACAATTTTAAATATTCAAAACAATTTAATCAATAACACACTATTATATGTCAAATTAATTTAAATTAAAATGTTTATTTACAATCATTGCATTAAAATTGGATCATTTTTAACGTTATAAACAATTGAACACAACTTAAATGGTCAACTTTTTGACATATAAATAAAATTAATACAATTTTAACATAACAAGAATAATATAATTAAATTAAAACAATCACAATTTGAAGTCATTTTTATTTTAATGGCAATTTTAATTAAATAAAAGGTGTTTAACTTTAAATAGATATTTATTATGTTTATTTTCATGTTAACTCCAATTTCAAACATAGAGAATGAAAGCTTTGGTTTTTATGTTATATATTGTTTTGACGTTCTCACAGCCAGACGAGTCAGAAGGACCTTCACACCCACCACCTTTCTTGCGCTCAAGATCAAGTTCAGAACTTTTATTAGATGCACAACTTTCTCCTCAAGAAATGCACATTATCAGCGAATTAAAAGATACTGAGAAAAATTATCAAGAAGCTCTTTGAGAGCTTGCATTTCTCTTTCTCAAACACCCTGATATATTCAAATTCAAATATCATAAACAATTAAACGAATTAGTCGATATGCAAAAACCTTTACTAGAAGCACTGGAAGAAGCTGTTACAACCCCAACAGTTGGAAGCGTGTTCAAAGCACTGACTCTCTTCAATGAAATCTTTTATAACCCTACACTTATTCAATTGTATATCAAAATAGCAAGAAAAATCAAAAAGTGGAACCCAATTTTAACAGCAAAAAATCCAAATAAAGAAGATGTTGATATTTCCAGAATTCAGTTATTACTTCTTAATCCTATTCAAAGGATACCAAGATACACCCTTTTATTTAGTGACTTAAAAAAAGCCGGTCATTTTAGACACAGTTCAATTTTACAAACAGCAATACAAAGATCTGGAGTGGTCGCTTCTGATATTAATGAAAATTCATAACCAAATTGTTTCTTGTTTTTTAATACAACATTTAATAAGTTTTTTACTATTAATTTAATTATAAATAGATTTGTGTTTATATTATAAGTACTAATTATTCCTTGATTAATAAAAGTGAAATTAAGGAATAATATATTGCCATAACAACAATTGAAGTTATTATGTTGAATTTTTAATGTTGTTAATTTGTGAAATTGGAACAAATTTTAAAAGGTTGTAACAAATTTATTATTAAATATAACATTTGTTTTTTTATTTAAAATAATTGAGATGAATACTTAAGAATAAGTTCTTTATATTTTTTAATTCATTTCATTGTTGGAAAAGCTGAAAACCGTTCAATATTTTTGAATTGATTGTAATAAACATAATTTGTTTTTAAACACACATTATCACTAAAAAAATAAATAATATCTTATTAAACACTTAGTTGGACACAAATGCAATTAATTGTTCTATTGCTTCTTTATGTTTTGTTTATTTGTTGTAAAGGCACTCCACTAACAGAGAAAGCCAAACATTGTATTGACGAATTTGAAAATAGCGAGAAAGTGTATTTGTCAACTTTAAAAGAGTTAATTCCACTTCTTCAAAAGCATCACAATATTTTTAAAGAAAAGTACATTGATTATCTCAAATTGATAATATTTAAACAACAGAAATTTTTGAGTATATTGAATGAAAACAATAAAAATTCAAACTTATTTTATACATTTCAAAGTGTTATGACTCTCACTGCAATGTTTTACGATCCAGAAGTATTAAATGGGTATTTACAATTTACTTCAAAACTAAATAAATGGAACTCGAAGTTGTCTCGCATGAACCCAGATAAAAATGACAAAGAACTCAACACCATTTCACTTTTAATTATGTCTCCTTTACAAAGAATACCAAGGTATGAATTACTTCTTCGAACTCTTTTTAAATGTGACGATTGTAAAGACAATTGTTTTGCAGAAGAAATTATAAGAAGAGCTTCTTTTGTATCTATTTTGATTAACGATCAATTAAAATAATTGTAATTTGCGTTTTTTAGTATCCAGAATAACCAATAAACAACGATCATTTGAAATTAACACGACTTTCAAATAAACACATTTACCAATTTACATTTTCACATACAAAATTAGGTAAGTTGATATAAAAATATAATAAACAATATTTAATTTGTGTTGTGTAATTTTTGATGAATATTTTTTCTTTGTTAGACAAAGTTATATTTATCGTCTAATTGAACACTTTGAATCTTTTCAAATTGAGTATCTTTTTATGTGTATAACACACCAACTTCTAAATAATTGATGTGTTATATCTTCCAATTATTGTTTGTTATATAAAGTTGCCTTTTTGACAACAACAAAGGGGCAACTTTATTTTTATTTGAAAAAATGGGGATAATTATTAAAATAATATATAGCCTAACAATAGACACAGTTTACAAACGATAACTTAACTATTTCAAATATAAAAGTCATAAAGTCAATGCCTATGTGATGTATTTAGATCTGCCGAACTTTTTTATTTGTCGCACAACTGGCTGATAATTTTGGTGTTCTACAATTCGAATTTTGTCTTCAAATCCGTAATTTTTGTCTAACTAAATTTTTTTAAATTATTTTTATAATAAAACTATCAAAGCAATTCACACAATCACAACAAATCGATACTTTGTTTTGCTGGATTTTTGATGAATGGACGCGTCTGACTGTAATTTTTTAAATACTATTTATAAAACATATTTGTATAAACATGGCAAGTAAAAGTAATTTATGTTTAAAAAATACCCTCAAAATATTTTTGAAGTAATTCCAAATTTTTTAATTACATGATTATTAAAAAACAAACCCGACTATTTAAAAATCGCATTTTCTTGTTGTTTAAAATTATAAACTTTATAATATATCCAGGACTTTTTGTGTAATTATTAATAAAAAAAATAAAATGAATTATTAAGACAATGTTTGAGATTGGTTGAATATTAAACAGACCGACATCACCTTTTATATTACTTGAAAAATAAAACAATAAATTGTTTAAAAAAGAAGATAAAATACAAATGCATAAGTTATTACCTCAATTTATTTGAAAAAAGACTTGTATCTAAATATTAATATCATGTTCACACTTCTTTTCTTTATTACTTTTGTTTCCAGCATGCGTCCAGAAGAACATGCAGAACTTACACACAAAGCTAAAAAGATACTTTCAGAAATTCAATCAAGTGAAGAAACATACCTTATAGGTGTTATGGAATTGGCAGATTTAATGGAAAAATTTCCAAAATTATTTGAAGACAAATACATTGATTTTTTGAGAACTGTATTTCAAAAACACAACATTTTTATAAAGGAATTAATCGTATCCAATTCAAAAGGAGATGTACATTCTGCTTTGAACAGTCTTTCACAATTTACTGAAATGTTTTATGACCCCGATCTATTAAAAGGATACTCCGATTTCGTCTTAAAAATTAACGATTGGAACAAAGAAATAAAGAAAAAGAATCCCAAGAAGAAACATCTGGATTTCAATTCAATTACTTCTCTTATTTTGTATCCCATGCAAAGAATTCTTCGTTATAATTTATTATTTTCAAATCTAGCAAAATGCAAATTTTTCAAAAGTAGTGTTGTATTGAAACGGGCTCGAGAGAGAGCAGAGACTGTTTCTTCCATTATAAATGGTGATTTAAATTGATTAATAATTCAGTGTGTTATATTTGTGTTTGTTTGATATAATAAAATATTATTTAATGTACTTTATTGTTTTGATGATTCACATCTTTTGTTTTCAATTATAAGAAAACCATTATTCAAGTTGTTTCAAAAAGACATATACTATTTTGATATAATCAAGTTTTGTTTGCATTTTAAACACTTCTTAAACGGTTTTAAGAATATTATCTTTATATTGATATAATGAATTCATTATGCCTTTTCTTATTCATATTGAATGCCATAGGAAATCCAAATGATAAACTTGATACTATGGCCAAGAAGACAATTGAAGAAATTTTGATGACTGAAGAAACATATTTGTCTGGATTATTTGATTTCAGTGATTTAATATCGAATTATCGAGGAACGTTTGAATACAAATATACAAAGATGGTGGAGACCATTTTTAAAAAGCAAAATTTGTTGGTCGATCAATTAATACAAGCAAAGTCTAAAAGCACTGTTGGTGGTGCTCTTGAGTTCCTTCATTTCTTTACTGAACTTTTTTATGATAAAGATTTGATCAGCGCTTATGTTGATTTTGTTAGTAAAATTCGTTATTGGAATAGTTACTTGGCAAAGATGAATCCACATAATACAGATGTGACACTTCGTTCAATATCATCTTTAATTGTCTCTCCTATGCAAAGAGTTATTCGGTACAAACTTTTCATTGAAAACATCTCCAAGTTACCACAATTCAAAGGTAATCGTGTTGTCCATCGAGCGTTGAAAAGAATCAGTTCTGTGGCTGATTCTATTAATAATGCGTAATTCAAGTTTACTTTTAATTATATGAAACCTTTCGTATCAAATAAATTACATCAAATAAAGCATTGAACATTTTTACAAAATAAATTGTTTATACGAAATTAAAGGAATATATTTATTGCAGAGTTTAATATCAAACAGTCCAACAATTAGACTCATATAGTAGATTAAAATAAAAGAAGTGAACATACCATAAACAAAAAATAATTTAATATTTAAAATATAATAAATTATATTATATCATATAATATTGAATGTATTTTTGAAATATAATAAAAGTGATGGTGTATTGAATCGAGTTAAATTTTACAATTGGTAGTTTGAACGCTTGTTAACAACTGACTCAATGTTATATAAAGATGCGTCATCTCTTCATTTTTCATTCTTTTAGTACCTTTTTATGACGACAGTATTCTTTATTATTACATTTACTTTATTGTGTCAAAGTACTCCAATTTCTGAATCAACTTTCAACATTTTGAAAGAATTTCACCAGACTGAGAATACTTATTTGAGTGGGATTGACCGCCTCATTGAATTACTCGAACGTTACCCAAAATATTTCAAAGAAAAATATATCAATTTACTTCGAGTCATTACACAGAAGCAATTTGCCTTTCTGCATATATTGGGTGTATCTACAGCGAAGAAAAATAAAGAAAGTATTATAGAAGCTTTAATGACATTTACTGAAATGACTTACGACCCTGATGTACTTAACAATTATGTTGTGTTTGTATCAAAAATCATGGACTGGAACAAAGAGCTTGAAAAAATCAACAAAAGAAAGGCTGACATGGATTTAACAATGATCTCTTCATTGATATTGACTACAATGCAACGCCCACCAAGATATGTACTTTTGATTAAAGAACTATTGAAGTGTGAAGAATTTAAAAACAATCAATTAGTCAAAGGAGCATTAGAACGTGCCGAGGCATTATCACAGGCCATTAATGAAAATATTAAAAATTGATTCTTCTGATTTTTTTAATGTTCTATTCGCCTATGTATAAAGAAATGATAAATTAAAAGTTATTTTTTGATGTTTTAATTTTACTATAAAATATTTATAAAAACTAAATTATTTATTTAATATCTTAACTTGTACCTTATCGGTAAGTTTATAAACTCTTTATTATAACATATATTAAACAATTGTTACGTTCTGTAATTCCTTATTTCTATAAAATGGCATTCAATGTAAAAACAAAAAGAAAAACCGGAAATTGTAAAACAGAGGGTTGTGTAATTTATTTTAATTAACTATAAATAATTAACATATTTATTATAAATAATAGTTAATATCTTTATTTCAATTAACCATAATTATCAGGTGAAGATTAGTAATAATATAAACATACCCTTCACTTTCTATTTTTATTTTAATAATTACTTTTTTATTTTTTTTCACAAAAACCATTTAAAAAAAGCTTAAAAAAAGTGTAAAATAATTTGTTTTAAAACTATAATTATAATTGTTTTAACTATAAACATACTATTAAAAACTACCAGCAAATAAACCTCCACTAGTTTTTGTTCGACTTTTTTTGGATTGCCCTTTTTACTTCGTTGATCTTATTTACACTAAGAAAAGTTCCATTTTTTCACTAAGTACTATTTATATCGGCTTAGTATTTTTTTAAATATCTTTTAATTATAACTTTAGTGACCACATCATCACAACGTTTTGTTATAACCTGATATTTAATATATATTTACTAGTAATTTATAATATTAAAATTAATTTTATATTAAAAATATAAAGTATTATTTTATTTTCCCGATTAAGTATAAATTGTCATTTTACAAATTAATTCTATTTATACTGAACGACAAAACACAATCCAACAAACTTTCGTCGATATTAAACATGATAATAAACTATCTATAATTATACAAATTTAACGTACATTATCGGGATTTCATGTAAATAATCTCTTTTTTGATACGATTTGCAAAACGATTTTTTGACCAATGGCCTAAAAATAGAAAGATTAAAATCATTTCACCCCCAAAATAAAAATAAAAATAAAAAATAGTAAAACCTACATGTTGAGCAAAATCCCGAAATAACAGCCCAATTGTGATTTGAAATTAGTTAATAAAATTATAAACTTTTTTAGTTTTTTCATTTGAAAGATATTTCATTCAACAATCACAAATTTGTATAACCAACTAATATTTATAGCAAAAATATTATATTTTAATAATTTATTTGACAATTTGATCAAGATCTAACCAAAAGTCCATTATAATCTCAAAACGAAAAAGCCAAAAATGGGTTCATGTAAAATGTGTCAAAAACTCCAAAATGGGATTTTTATTATTTTTAATTTAAAAAAAAAACAAAATAAAAACAGAAAACCTCTCATTTTATCAGATTGAAAGATGCAGAACGAATACACATTTGGGGCTTATTTTTCAAGTAATTTATCAAACAATTACAATGTGATTAACACATCGTTGATGTACTCGCCACGCACAGTGTCGTACGTCGAACCCTCTCAATGCACAGACTCAGACCTTTATGAAAATACGTCAGTCTGCTCACAAAGACTGACTGTTTCCAACCTCGGGTGTTCAACCATCTCATTCATGACAACGTCTGACATCAACCTTAGAATAGACAATTGGATCAATTCAGTCGACACTGAGGCCTTATACCCTTCCCCTGTTTGCGTTTGAAGAGTGTTGCAAGCTTGTACATAATTCATTTCACTTTCTTGTATTTGTTTATTCTATCATATTATAGTTGTTTCATAGTAAATTATACTATAACTTTTATTGCTTTTCATCAACAATTGCTCATTTTAATGTTTTTTGAAAAAAAGATTTCTTGTAAATTTCCAGTATGTTGTAGAACATTTTTACTCATGTTATTTTTAATTTAATTTCTGGTTATTTTTACTATTAATTATAAAATTAAAAATAAATTATTTTGTTTTGGATTTATTTATTTATGTTTTGTTCAAAAATTAATAAAAACCTTTTATTTAATTGCTTTTTTGTTGAACAAAAATTGTTTAAAAAACTGACTTTAAATTTCGATAACAAATATTTTGAAGTAAACCTAGGGGTGGAAACTACAATAAAAACAATACAAAATAATTGTTACTGTGTTGGGGTTTGCACAAATTGGATGGAATATCCACCAGTCTTCGGGTCTTGGTTAACAGCGAAATTGTCTGTTGAAAGGCCAAACCACCCCAAAACGGAGTTACCAACATCTTTAAGACTCGACATCATTTGGTCCAAATCTTTTTGTTGCTCTTCGGTGAGTTGTTCTTTCTTGTTATTATTCAAAGGTGTGGCTTTTTCTGTTTCGTGGATATCAACCTCCTCGACTTCTTCCTTTGTTTTTTTTGCCTCATCTGTACTTTCATTCCGCCCACTCTCTCTTTTGTCAATCTCATTATGTTCTTTTTCTTCGCTCATTCCGTCATTTTTCTCATCTCCACTTGTTCTTTCATCTTCATTTATTCTGTTTTCACCCTCTCTATTAACAATTTCTTCAATCTCGTTGTGTTTTTCCATCTCATTTTTTAGTTCAATTTCATTTTTTTCTAAACTATTATTATAATAAAAAAATAATTTGGAGTATTATTATATAATAGTAACATGGTATTATATAATAATAGTAAAAATAATTATATATTATTATATTTATAATAATTTTTATTTTTAGAATATTATTTATACTATAAAATACCTTTATAATATAATAAATACCTAAAATAGTTTTTAAAGTCTAATAATTTTTTATACTATAAAAATATTATTTAATATCAAACTAGTAGTTGATTATAAAAAAAACTAACCAACAATCGCTGATGAAAGATTAGTTAAAAAAAGAAAAACGCCCATTCTCCTCACAACTCCTTGACGATTTTGATCAAGTAGTCGAATTGTAAGTACATTTGCTTGTCGTCATCCGTAAACTTGACGTTGGACTTGTACTCCCCTCGAGCCAACATTCCCGACGGTGCTTCGTTCCAGTCGTTCTTTGGGAGTTCGAGTGCTTGGAACTCGTTCTTTGGTGGGTAACTCCCCAACATTTCTTCGTCTGATGCGACCTGTTTCCCAAGCTTAGAGACGGTATTAATGATTCTGAGTCCTAACACTGGCTCATGTTGTACTCTGAAGCTAACTCTCATCTTGAATTCCTCGTTTTCCTTAATGGGGATGGGAGTTGATTTAGCTTTGGCAATGTCAGCCTCAGTGCTCAGCTTAAGGATAACAGGGTCCCGTGTCTTGAATAGAACAGCGAACTCGGAGATGACAACACGGCGTGGGTCGTCTTTTGGGGGAACATAGTCTGGATCCATCCCCAGCGATTTCAAGTACGCAACCAATGACGGGTCTTTCTCGTTTTTCGCTATGTCTGTCGCCGACATCACAACACTTTTCGAGTTCTTTTTCCTCCCTTAAATATCCCGTCATTCCGATTCGCCACTCCAAAAGATGATTTTTAAGTTCCCATACCTCTCGGCCGTTCCGACGGGATGAGTTGTGATTGCTTTTGTCAAGTGGCATTTTTTATGTTTTTTTACTATTATTTTAAGCCAGTTGATAATTTCATACACCATAATGTAAAGGTTCTTTCATGTTAAATAATTTTGAAAACTAAAAATACTATCGTTTCTGATTGAACAAAACTTTCCCGTTTTAAAAAAGAAAAAAAAAATATTCATAAGTTTGTATTATTGTATTACTATTATTCTAAATTTTAATAAAAAACGAGTTGATGTCTACTATCATTTAACTATATTTGAACTATAATAATTAATTTCGCGTATTATTTATTAATTAATATTGTATTATTAATAAATGGTTTTATAAATATAATAATATGGTTTATCAAACACCTAAAATCTCCTGAAAAATGAGATGATGATAAACTTGGTGGAATAAAAGTATAAATAAAGCGAAGAAAAAGCAGACAAAAACGACTTTATTTATTTCTATCGACAAGAAAAGAAGTCAACATTAACAATTTTGATTAGACGAGTGGTGGTGTGCTTGAAAGACCTGAAACAGACCCATATATCTCCGAATTGATTTTGTCCCTTTTCTCCACTGGTCGTGCCGAGAGGAGGAGTCTGTCCACACACCCTGGACAAGCTCTTTCGAGTGTCATCAGTGGTGGCAGAGGTACTCTCATTTTTGTGCACCCGTCGCACACGCATTTCCCGCAGAACCTGCAGTGGTGTCGTCGTGTCCAAATACCGAACTGAGTGTTGCAGGTCATGCAGAGTGTTACTGTGTTATCCGGAACGAATGGTGGTTTGATAAAAGAGTCATTCATTTTGTTTCTGGTCTTTAGTGCTCTTGTCGCCTCCTCGTTCGCCTTTGTGATTTCCGTCATCCAACTTTCCTTCTCTTCTTTGTTCGACGCGTACACCACAAAGCTCTTCTGATCGGTCAAAATTTCAAATGCGTTCTGTTGTGGAACGTCTTTGACAAAGACTGAAAAGACTTCAGTGACTTGTGACACTTTTGTAGCGGCCTCGTCTCCCATCCCATACAGAAAGATGTCATTAAACAAGATGAAGTGTCTTGGCTTAATTTTCTTTCTGCAGACCTTCCTGAGATTTCCTTCTTTGATGAAGTACCTTTGCGGCTCGACAAGCTTCCCCGAGAAGCCCGATATTCTTTTCTCCAGTGCAAACAAGACTCTTCTCCTCTCTGTCGAGACAATAGCCCTATTAGCGGAGTCGGTGAGTTTCTTCATTTCTGTGAGGGCTTGTTTGATGTTTGTATAATCGTCGTACGTCTCTGGTGTTCTCTTCACCAAGTCTGTGAGGAGAAGGGTATACCTAGGCAGTCTCTGTACGGGCATAATAAGAAACCCCTGGAGGTCGAGTTGGTTAGATTTGTTTGGGATTGCGAGTCTGACGTCGTCGAGGAAGTCCTCTATTTTTTTCGATGTTGAAATGGTTTGAACTGCTTGTTGGGAAGGCCCAGTATTCCCCAAGTACTGATAATAGACTCTGAAATATGGGATATAATTTTGGAAGATCTTTCCAATCGACCGGCTCAGTGTTGAACTTTCCTTCGCGTTTTGCAGTTCTAAATAAAAAGATTTGTTGACGTTCGCTATTTCGTCAAAATACAAGAAGATGGTTTCCGTCTGTGACTTTGGAATGATGGGTGGAGACTGTTCTGTAATTCGTTTATAGTAATATTGAATGCACGTGTCTAATGACTCGTTGTAAGTCTTTTCAGTATCCATGATTTCTTCGATTATGCGGAGTCGATACTCATCACCTGACAGCGTGTTCTCACGCTCCTTGACAAAAGACATCTTCTGCTATTTTTCCAAACCTTTTTCATTCGAAAAATGGAACAGAAAACAATGATTTTCATATTATACTTGTTTATTATAATTTATAATTTATTAATACTAATTTTACTATCTATTCCTTTTGTAATTTTTTTTCAAGAAAAGTTTTTGGAGATTTTCTTTGAATGAAACTATTTTAAATTAATTAATAATTTTATTAGTATAATAATTAGTATATTTATTGGTAAATATATTAATAAATATATTAATAAAAATTAAATACAGTTTATTATATAATAAACTATAATTACATAACAAAAGATCAAATAAATATACTTAAATAATAATACAATTATAGTACAACAAAACAATTTGAAAAAAAGACAAGTGAACTCCAAAACGAACTAGAAATCATGGAAATAATACGTCGAGTGGTTGGGGCGTTACCGACGCTTTCAATCAAGCGGATGAGTGACTTTATATTTCTTCTTTATGGAGTATTTCTTCTTCTTTATTCGGTCTATGTGAGTGTCTTTCGGTTGCAATCTGACACGTTGCCCCACGTGGAGTCGTTGACGTCAGTTGTGACGTGTACGATGCTTCAAAGTGTGATAGTGGTGACGTCATCACTTTTTCAGATTTTGCAGCGGACGTATAGTGACGTGACATCGGTTTCGTTCCACTCATTTGTGCTTATAGTAATCTTAATGGTTTCATTAACTCATTCGGTAGTAATAGGCGTTTCTATTCATAATTTTAATAGAATAAGTGATACTAATAGTAATATCCCGGACATCGAACAACAATACTCGTGCTGTGGGTGGTACTCAATTTCGACAAGAAGATGTAAATCACTGGCTGGACTCAGAATGGACAGAACATGCTACGGAAGCGTCGGGACGGACGTCTGGAGTGTACTACCTGTGGCAATGGGAATCAACATAATCTTGATCGGCCTCGCGATCGTCAAATTTGGAATCATCTACTTCAACGCAATGAACGAAAATAAAGCAGAGATGCTCGTTAACAAGAACGAAGACACAGAAGACGCTGTCGACGTCGTCAACTATCTTCAAGTCGATGAGATTGAGGAATCCATTTTCGACGATTTTGGAGATCATCTCAAAAATAACGATGTGTTGCACAACGAAACGACAAATGGTAAAGGCAAAAGCGAGTCATCGGAAATCACTGCTGAAAGGATGAACAGTGCGGTCGAAGAAGAAGATTTTATATTGCAGAACGACACGACAGAGAAACGAGTCGAAAGATTTTAATTGTGTTAATGGTTCGGTATAGTTCTTTTTATAGTAAAATATACTATTATTTTTGTGAGCAGGAAAACGTCAAAGTTGCTATGAATGAGTAGGGTTTCACTTTTCTGTGTGATTTTTTTAACTCATTCCAAATAAGAAGATATGAGTGAAGAAAACGGCGCGAAACACATTGGCGACGAAATAAAAAAAGAGGAGAGTGAAGACGTGAAAGACGAAGTCAAAATGGATTTAGAAGACGACCCAAATGATATTGTTGAAGAAGTTCAAAAGCCAAACGCTATGGAGGAGGAACCAATCAGTGACGCGGATTTGTATATTGAAATGAAGGAGTGGAGAAAATTATATAAAATCGATATCACTATTTTAAGGGCTTTATATGACCTCGGCTTTATATATCCAACAGAGATTCAGAAATTCGCAATCCCAAAAGCTCTCACTTCTCAGTTTGTTACTATTATTATTACTAATTATACAAAAATTAATATTTCTATTATCCAGTTTTTTTTTAAGTGGAATGATGGGAAAGTTTCTTAACTATTGACAATAGAATAACATTTTTAATAACATTTTAATGTTTTTTATCTATAATAATTTAATAATATTTTATAATAACGAATTTAATAACAATTATAATAACAATTAAAATAACAATTAAAATAACAATTAAAATAACAATTAAAATAACAATTAAAATAACAATTAAAATAACAATTAAAATAACAATTAAAATCAGAAAATGACAAGAAGAAAAGATTTGATTGGATCAGCGCCTACTGGGAGTGGCAAAACGCTGTCATTCTTAATCCCACTAGTCCAACGGTTTATAGAGAAAGGGACATTTGATACGACGCAGTGTTTGATCTTAGTTCCCACTCGAGAATTAGCTGTTCAAATTCGGGATCACTTACAAAAATTAACGAAATACCTTCCGCGAGTCACATCATGTGTAGTAGTAGGTGGGTTAGCATCCGTTAAACAAGTCCGTTTGTTGTTACAAGAGCCGACGATAGTGATCGGTACTCCTGGTCGTATATTTGAGTTATACAACAACCAAGACACTCCTGTGTTAAAGACATTGCCTTCGCTGCCGTATTTAGTAGTTGATGAAGCTGATCGGATGGTAGAGCCTGGGCACTTTTCCGAATTAAAAGATTTGGTGACGGTCGTGAGTAACGCAGAGAAGCAGACGTTTGTGTTTTCAGCGACGATGCAATTAGCTGCGGAGATGTGGGCTGCTAAATTTAAGACGACGCAAACGACGCAGATGGAGATGATGGTATCAGCGTTGAATATGAAAGACACGGAGTTAGTCGATATCTCGACGCCGGAACAAACAGCGAAGGAGATGGAAGAGAAGAAGATAACAGTGACGGGGAAGTTACGGGATGAAGCGTTGTTTTATGTCTTAACGAAATTAAATCCTGGGAAGACTTTAGTCTTTGTGAATGCAATAACAATGGTTAAGCGAGTCGTTCCATTACTTCAAATGGTGAACATCAAAGTGTCTTCGTTATACTCAGGAATGGAAATGGCACAACGATTAAGGAACATCGAGAGATTTACAAAGAACGAGAACACCGTGTTAGTCACAACGGATATCGCGGCGCGTGGACTTGATATCGACGATATTAAAACAGTCATTCACTACGATCTGCCACGAACAAGTGAGTTGTACGTCCATCGATCGGGAAGAACGGCGCGAGCGGGGAGGAAAGGGACTTGTATAGTTTTTGTTGTCAAAGAAGAGAAAGGAAAATATTTGAAAATGCTGGAAAACTTGAAAAAGAGTGACTTCCCGCAGATTAAGATCGACGCACAAGGCTTTGTGATGACAAAAAAGATCATGGTCTTAGCTAATAAAATCATCGATAAGAATAACACCAAAAAGAAGGGCGGCGTCGTTAAAAGAGACCAAAAGGAAATCGAAGATTCGGACGAAGAGGGACTCGACCCCGCTGAACAAGAAGACGACAGAGTCCATAACGAGAAGAGAGAGAAACTCGAACGCCTCCAAAACTATAATATGAAGGAACAATTACAAGATCTCCTCAAGAAGTATCAAATCGTCAAATTGGCAGGGTCCGAGAAAGGATCCTATTTAATGGGACTTAAAATGGAGGGAATGTCCGGAAAAGACCACTACGTAAAAGGAAAGGAAAAAAGAGAAATGAAAAGAAAGCATTTTGTAACAGTGAAAGGACTCGATTTGGACGATCTGGATGAACAAATTAACTTCGCAAAGACTCTTGCTAAGAAGAAATATTGATTTTTGGATTGATTCGTGTTGTTGTAAATTACTATACTATAATAGTATTATATGGTATTATTATAAAAGACTAAAATAATATAGTTTATTTGTTAATAATATTGTAATTTGAAGGCATAATTCAAAAAGAAGAAATCGTTCGCGTTAAAGAGATAGAAATGAAGAGGTTACCGAACGAATTTAAATTTATGATTTTGAAATTTTTTCATTGAGAAATAAATAGAATTAATAATAAAATCAAAAAAAGTTATATTGTATTGTTTTATAATTCCATTTACTTACCATAATAGTTTTCATCAAACTGTCATGAAACTATAAAATGGTATTTATAATAGTATTATCAAACTATACACTAGTGTACCAGATATATAACTACAATATAGATTCAAGTGTTATAAACTTCTTTCTATATCATTACAAATTTGTTATAAATTACAATACTATACTCATATTGTAATTTACAATATGAGTATAGTAAACTAGTCGAACAGAATTAACTTAAAAAGATAGAGATGGAAGAGGCTATCAAAAAGGCGGATGCCTTAGAACAAGCTCGATATGAAATAATGAATACAAACCCAAGCTTTCCATCGTCCAATGGGACCAATAAAAAGAGAGAAATTTCACTCGAAAAGTTTCAAGGCCTAGTTGGATTAGTCCCCTTAGGTATTCCACCTCTTCTCCTCTTCTTTTACTTCACATTTTACTTCTTCGTGATAAAATACTTTGCTTTGACATACTCAACACTCACAATGACTCTTCTAGTTGTTTTGTCACATTATGAATTGTATAGTATGCTCTATCACTGGTATAAGTGTTACACCGTCCCTTCCGACGAAATTCCTATCGACTATTTTAAGCAATACACCTCTCAGAAAAACACCGTCGAACACTGCTCGATCTGTAAAAAGGACAAGTACCCCCGCACACACCACTGCTCGATCTGTGGCAAGTGTGTTGTTCGCTATGACGTTTGTGTTCCATTTAACTATAATTGTATAGTATAATTATAGTATAATTATAGTATAATTATAGTATATTTATAGTATATTTATAGTATATTTATAGTATATTTATAGTATATTTATAGTATATTTATAGTATATTTATAGTATATTTATGGTATATAGAGTAGATATATAAGAACTATATTATATAGTTAAATTATTATAAATAATAGAGTAAGTACCGGAACTATAGAGTATAGTATAAAGTAGTAGAGTAATAGTATAGCATCACTGTGCGTGGTTGTCGTGTATTGGACTGCACAATGTGCGGTACTTTGCGTTGTTCTTGTTCAACGGTGCGTTTACGACGGGGATCTATATGACGATGTTAGGGTATGTATTATACGACCAATACAACAACGCGAATCTTCCTTTTAAAACGCTATTAGTGATGACTATCATGACGTTCAATACATTCCTGACGTGTGGGTTTCAGACGGTCTTCCAGTTTGTGTGCATCTCTTTGAATCTGACGATGGTGGACGTCGTCGTTGTTGGGACCACGTGGTTTAAAGGAAATGGAATAGTTCTGCCTTGGTATATCACTTTCATAGAAAATTGGAGGGAGGCCTTAAGAGTGAGGAAAGACCTCAGTCTCTTCTGGTACCTTTTGCCTTACACACCAACACGTGGAATTAATACCGAAGAACTCGACGATGTAAAAGTCGACGTGTGAGTGATATGAATTGTACTAGTCTATTCTAGTTAAAAAACTAAAGTAACTAGTTCAGTGATAGTTCGTATTTGTTTTTTTGTACTATGTCATGTAATAAACAAAACTATTTATTATAATACAGACATTTTTTTTCTTTTCCCAAATTTGCTTTGAAGAATGACATTTCCCACTTTGGACTTTGTTATACTATAAATTAATGGTAAATGAACCAAAAATAATAATACAGTTTATGAAAAACGAATAACTTATTATAGATCCAGATTTGGTACAAAGTCAACATCTCAACGCCACCGATCTCCTCAAAAAACCGAAACGAGTTGGATATAAAAAGGTAGAATTTAACTGGAAAAGCATCAAATGAAATTTCTTCTGTATGGCGGTCGTGGATGGATTGGTGGCCAAATGATTGAGTTATTGAAAGCTCAAGGCTTTGAGGTAGTCAGTGGAGAGGCGCGCCTAGAAGAACGCGAGAAAGTCATGCGAGAGATTGAAGAGTCGAAGCCGGACCGTATCATCAACTGTGCTGGGAAGACTGGCCGCCCCAATGTTGATTGGTGTGAAGACCACAAAGAAGAAACGATTCGTTCGAACGTCATTGGGACGTTGAATTTGGTCGACTGCGCCTTTTTGCATCACATCCATGTGACGAATTTTGCGACGGGGTGTATTTATGAGTACGACGCGAAGCATCCGATGGGAAGCGGGATCGGATATACCGAAACGGACGCGCCGAACTTCACAGGGTCGTTCTATTCATACACAAAAGGACTTGTAGAGAAGATCTTAGTCAATTATAGTAACTTACTCAATTTGAGACTCAGAATGCCCATCTCAGACGATCTGAACCCAAGAAGCTTCGTCACAAAAATCACAAAATATCAGAAGGTCGTCAATGTCCCAAATAGTATGAGCGTCTTAACTGATCTCTTACCGAAAGCTGTCGACATGTCGATTAAGAAGGTCACTGGACTCCTCAATTTCGTCAACCCCGGCGCTATCTCGCATAACGAAATTTTGGACCTCTATAAAAAGTACATCGACCCAAAGTTCGTCTACACAAATTTCTCGCTGGAGGAACAGGCAACTATATTGAAGGCGGGAAGATCTAATAACGAACTCGACACGACTAAACTCAAGACAATGTACCCAGATATACCTAACATTAAGGAAAGCATTGAAAACGTCTTTATTAGAATGAGCAAAAACGTCAAGAAGGAGGACTAAGAAGGACTCAGCTTGATTAAGGGAGATAAACCACTTTAACTCTTGTTTTGGTTATTTCTATATATTAATAGGTGTTTTACTATTTAATTTTATTACAAAAAAAGAAAAAAAAATGCACTAACCGGGACTCGAACCCGGATCTCCATTTTGGGAGGGTGAAATTCTGCCCTTAGACCATTAGTACTTCTTCAAGAAATAGTTCAAACAGCATTACTAAATGCAATTTATTTGATATTTACTCCGAATTAGTTCAAACTGTTAAACCACTCAGTGAGTAAATAATGAGCGAGATCTATCGGAACGCCATCTACAAGTACGTCGTCGGTCCTGGTAAAGGCAATGGTGGTGCTGTTTGTGGTCGTGATGGTGGTGTATGGTTTGTTATTTTCTACTTCTTTTTAGTAAAAAAGGAGATGACAACTCACCAGAAGGGGACACTCAGAAACACTTGAAATGTCGCTTGAAGAAGCGCGGAACATTCACCGCGTTTGTCTCAAAGGATTGACAGGTGCAAATTTTGTGATGAGTGGCGTGACCTTTGCCATCACCGACATGAACGACGATCAAACAATCATATCTGCAAAGGCGGTTTCTTATCAGTCCGGGTGTACTATTATCCTCACGCGTGGTGGATTTGTTGTTGGGTACTTTGACTCGCCAAACACATCTGAGCAGAGCATTATAGCAACAAAGAAGCTTGCTCGTTATGTCAAAGAACTCGGGTATTAACTGCTTTATATACATTACGACTTTTTCAACCAAAATGACAAATTTGCATTAAATGGTAAAAATTTGGTTTAATTATAATAAAAATAGAATTATTAATTTGTTTAATATATAATAAATATAATAAATATAATAAATATAATAAATATAATAAATATATAACTAAAATATTGACTATTTTTTTTATGATTTATGTACTAAACTTTATAGTAAAAAAAACTAAAAAATAGTTAAAAAAGGTCCTACATGTCTTACTTTTTCTTGTTCAAAATCTTTTTTGATTCAGCCCATCTCTTTCTGAGGTCTTCCAAAGTGACTGTATTAGGTAATGCGTCTCCATTGACCACATTATTTTCGTCTATAAGTTAAATCTATATTATATGGTATTATATATTATAATAATATAATAATATAATATATAATAATATAATATATAATAAATATATAATAAATATTATAGATAATATAATTAGTATAAATTATTAATAAAATACTAAACGAATACACAAGAAGAAAACAAACAAAGAGATGGTCGTTCTGACGCAACGGAACGCGCTAACGACTTTTTCTAACCTCCAGCAGACGCCGCGTGAGCTGATGCAATACTTGCGGACATCATTTTTTTACCTTTTGCCATAGCTGTTTTCATCCCCATCTTCTTCATAGCCATTTTTGGCGTTGCGGGTGGTTCTTCTTCATCTGTTTTTGGTGGCTCAAGTGGTTCTGGTTCAGCCTCATCGACATCGATTTCGACTTGAATGTCATCTAAGTCGACTTGGATGTCTTCCATTTCAAGATCTTCGGCATCGAGTGCGGTGAACGCGTACTCTAAAAACTTTGTAACGAAGGCTTTGAGGTCTTTGAAAAGTTCCAAAGTCCCACAGGTGATGCCATTAACTAAGACTGGATTGTACTTTTTTTTTATGTCTTTGGCAAACGCATATTTTGCGACGTTCATCCCACCCTCCGAGATCTCAACGGAAGCGCCTCTGTTACTTTTGCTGTACATTGGGGCGGAAAAGATGGTGAAACAAAGCGGCGTTTCAATTTCTTCATTGCCAAAGTCATGCGACTCAAAGCCATTATGAAAACACTGGTGGCCTCGGAGCATCCCTATAAAGCCATTTTTCTTGAAGAACTTATCAACCGCCTTGAACCCATAAAACACTGAACAGTGACGGCCAGTGTTCTCTATAAAGTCCACTGTATTCCAATCAATCTGTTTTGAGTCTAATTCATCTTGTGTTATAGGATCTGCCCATAATAAGTCTAATAATAAAGCATTTGATGTGGGCTCGACGTGACGGTCAATTAGATTCAAGTCGTCGAGAACTACTAAATTTGGAGAGATGCCACCATGACATAAAAAGAAGTTACCAAGAGATGTCGTGTATTTGCAAGCTAATGGGAGACTGTCAAAGAGAGTAATACACTTGTTATATATGTCTAACGAATACTTCCATATACACTCCGTCTTAAATCCATAGTTCTGTGTCATCGTCCGACTCTCATGGTTCCCTCGAAGTAATATCACTTTGTTCGGGTTGTTGCATTTCATCGCAATTAACGTGATGAGAACTTCGCAGGAATATTCCCCTCGATCAACGTAATCTCCTAAAAATACATAGGTGTGGTCTCTCTCCATTAAAAAGCTACTTGTTACTTTATTGAATGTTTTCAACATGAATTTCAGTAACCTTAAAACATGTTCAATTTATTGTTATAATTACAAGATCAAAAAACACTGAAACTCGAAAATGGGCAGGTAATATTATACAACTATTGAATAGACTTTGTAAGAATACAAACCACTTGTCAAGTTGATTCAAAAGATCAAAGTATTGCCCATGAAAATCACCCCAAACTACAGTGTCACCCGATATGTCAATTAAGTTGTGTTCTATATCGAGTATTCGTGTAGTTTTATCAAGTAAGGCGGTCAATGAACTGATTGTTAATACACCACCTTTCATAAAGTGTGACTTGAGCTTTGCCATATCGTATTTCCCATTCACAGGGACGAATTCGAGTTCCGATAAGCCGTCTGTCATAGTTATTTAAAAGAACAAGTTCGTTCCCATCGAGTTTTTTGTTTATTTTTTTTTGTTTTTGATTGTTGTTTGGTCGAAGGAATGAACTATATAAAAATAACGTGCAAAATCCACATTTAAATAGATTTATAATGTTTTGACACTATATCTTGTGTTATTTCATAAGTTTCAATTAATTTGGCATGCCGTTCTGGGTCATGTTGAAAATAGATATCTGTATTATTAAAACATGTTTTAGAGATGTTTTGCTTATCATCGGCAATTTTATTGTTAATTGACTCGTAATTTAGTTATAATAGTATTAATTAATTATAATATTAGTATTAATTGTTTAATAATCAAAAACTTAGTTTAATTAAAGATTTGTCCATTACACTAATTTTGTTTAATAATTGATGAATTAAATATATTTTACATTAATATTAATTAATTAATTAATTAATTATAATTTATTATAATATAACATCAATAATGAGGCATTTATGAATTATTATAACTACTATAATATGCTGAATTAAAAAACTGCACAAATTAGATCATTTTGGGTTTGTTAAAAAGTGTTTAATTTATTGCCCAAAAAATGTCTTATTCAATAACCGTTATTTGATTGATTAACAGGTTTTAAATTTAATGAAGAGATTATTAGTTATATTACTTTAATATATTATAAAGTTATTCCAGTAGTTTATATTGATTGTGTTATATTCCAAAATATATTACTGATATTTTGATGATATTGGTAGATAATTATAATTTCAGATACAACCATAGAATTATTATTATCATATATGGATGTGTTGTATCATTGATTTAAGTTAAATTATTACATGAATTATTTAATTTGATATTTAAGAATTACTCATATGTTCAATTATAGAACACAATATTATCTATCCAAAGTATTTAATTTATTATTTATATTATTAATATAAGTAAATATTTTTAATAATTTTATTTAATTCTTAGATAGTATTGACAACCAATGTCATAAAACTGTATATTATTTTATATTTTAATTGTTCGTCATTATACAAATCGAAGACTTGCAAATATAGTACATATAAAGTCTACATTCCACATATACCTGCGCCCTTTAAACGTTATTGTGTTAAATAAGAGTTACATTTACATATATTCACATCTCGATTTCTCAATCAAAATCATAAACACTCTCAAAGTTGATTTTTACTATCAACTTTTTTATTTTTCTAAATAAACAGAAAGCCATCTTATAATAGTGTTATACTAACGTATTAATATGAAAATCCCTCAGTTATATATATTTTCGCGATGAAATAAAATGTGTATATAATCAACAAAAAGATACTAAAATTACGACACTTCATCTGAATCCAAACGCTCCTCCCATCTGAGGTTGTTGTTGACCCATCATTCCCATCTGTGGTTGTTGTCCGAACATCGAAGCTGGTTGTTGTTGTTGTAGTCCGAACATTCCACCACCCATTTGAGGCTGTTGTTGTTGTCCAAATCCCATTCCCAACCCCATTTGGGGTTGTTGTCCCATCATTCCAAACTGTTGTTGTGGTTGTTGTTGAGCGACTGGTTTGGTAAAATTGTTTGCCTTATAATCTTCATACCGAATTTCTATAATCGATTTCCCTTTGAATTGTGGCATGAAATTAATTGCCATATAATGGTTCCCGTCCTGGATTGTTTCTTGGTATTTTACAAAGGCGCTTGACGTCGGTTGTTGCGTAAACGCTCCAGTTGCGCCAAATGCATTGGGCTGAGCACCAAAAGTTCCACCTAACCCACTTTGTTGTTGTTGGGGTTGAGCAAAAGCGTTTGGTTGAAGTTGCCCGAAAGCGCCGAGCTGATTTTGTTGGGGTTGTCCTAAGCCATTTGGGGCTTGTTGAGGTTGGCCTCCAAACCCACCACCAAAACCTCCAAAACCCGTTTGTGGTTGTAATTGTCCAAACATCTTTTTTGCGACTTTTAAGTTCTCTCTTTCAACATTTTTTTTGAATAACTATATGTTATAGTAACTTTTTATTAATTTTTTTGAATGGTTGGAAAGATGTATTTCTAACCTTCTTATTAATTTAATAATTTGGTTATTATATACTTATAGTTTATTTGTGAACTATTAAAATTCTTATATTTCTTTTTTTATTTCTGATAAATTAATATGGTATAGTTTAAATAATAATATATAGTTTTCTGCAATAATTCACAAATAAACAATGTTTTTTTTCTATCTACAAAAATATTTTAGTCTATATTATTTTCATCATTGACTTGTAATATTTAAGATATTATAACGAATAAAAAATAATAAACAAAATTTTTGAAATAAATTTAAAACATAATTTATTTATATTAATAACAAAACTATAATTTCAATTTATTTGGTAAAAAAAATAAATTGTAAAAAATCAAGTTAAAAAATTTTTTGTATTTAAAAAAAAACTTAAAGTTCTAAAAAAATAATAATAATAAAACTATTTTAATTAATTATTTTAATTGATTTAAAAAATAATATACTATATTATAATTAATTTCAATTATTCGTAATAAATCGTAGTTATATTATTAATTAATACATTTTAATAGTAAAATACATTGTTCAAATATTTTACAGAAAATAAGTAACACATTAAAGGTAAAACGAATAAAATATAAACACATAACAAATTATTACTGTTCTAAAAATGCTTTCATTCTCTGTGTCCTTTTGTTAATTATAACATCAATTTGGTCACTTGAACAAGCCAGCTGATTATCTATTCCCGTTTCTGGTATTTCTTTATCGACGTCGACCAAGTACTTAGTAATCGCGTCGAATGTTGGTCGATTATCAGGTACACTTATCCAACACATTTCAATCAACTTTTTAAGTGTCTTTGGCATTTTCTCGTCAATTGTAAGTCTTCTTCCCGATATGACATAATCCTTGATCTCAAAAATTGACTTGAAGTGCATATAAGGTTCTTCTTGGTAAAAGAGTTCCCACGCAGTTATAGCGAATGAGTAGACATCACCCGCGTTAGTGTAGACATCTTGAAAAGTCTCAGGTGCTGCGTATATTGGTGTTCCGAGTCCTTTGTCGTCGCTGTTATTAATTGACTTCTTCGTGAATCGCGATGTCCCAAAATCGGTGATTTTGATAGTACAGGCACTGTTGAAGTCAAGTGAGTTGACCAACAAATTGTCTGGTTTTAAGTCCAAGTGCATGATCTTGTTCTCGTGAAGAAACTCCATGCCACGTGCCGTATCAAACAACATCCGCACTTTCAGTTTGTATGGAAGACGTAGAAAGTCCTCTTTGGTATCACGTAAGTACTCCCCCAATGCGCCCAACACAAAGAATTGAATGACCATTGAGACTTGTGGGAGATAAGTCACTGACCCCATGTAATTGGCTATGAACGGATTGCGTAGTTTACTCATCATCTCACACTCCGCTATCACAGAATTCTTCAATTCTTTCATCTCATCGTCTGACAAATTCTCCCACTTGAACTGCTTGATGGCAACGGGGACACTTCTGTAGTTGCCTATAAACACTTTCCCCATCGCTCCCTCAGCTATCGGAGTCTCGTATATATTTAACTCATCCATATCTATCTGGGTCGAACTTGAGGCATCAGTTCTTATAGTGAAATAATAATGTTTGTGGCGAGAGACATTCTTTTTGAGTTTATTCATTTCGGTCTGGTCTTGTTGAGTGAATGTCTCGAATGTTTTGTCTTTTAGTAATTCGGCAATGTCATTTAACACTTTTTTATTTGTTGATTGCCACATCGTAAACGGGATTTTCATGTTACGCACTTTTGTCGTGCAAAAGAGTGTGCAGTAACATGTTATAATTTTCTTCCCATTTGGCCGAACGAAGAGGACTTGTGGGTCGAAATGGAATATGAATTTTGGGTTGTTAGGGGTGTGGAATATGATCATTAAACTAATTGTTAATCATTTGAATAACATTACAAAAGGTACAAATTTATTATAAAAAAGGTATAAAATTATTATAAATAGGTATAAATAACAAACTATTTGTTTCGACTGTAATTCGTGACTTCGATTTTTTCAAATCTTGTGTCTCCAACATCCGTTGGTTTTGTTTCATTTCCAAAATCCAGATTAATCGGATCAATATTATACTTTTCTTCTTTAGAAGGTTCTGCTGATGTTGATCCAGTCAAGTAATAGTGATAACATATTTGTTGTGTTCTGAATGTATTGATATCGACCTTCCTTATATTACTAACAAGTTTAAGAATAATTAATACAACAAACAAAGCAAAAGCGAGGATTCCCAAATCGAAAAAAACAACAACAATAATAATCCAAGCTGGTGTTTTCTTTTTCTTG